TTAACCCCTAACATAATTTTCTAGATTTACTCAGGTATTAATAAAGCCATTTATAATTATTTTTTAGTTATTATTTCCCTTTTTTTTGCGTATTTATATTTTTGTGTATTGTCAGCTTTAACTCTTAATAACCTTAAAGAGTTAATAATTTCTTTCTGTGCAACCACACCTGCAATGGTTGAGTGGTTGACATTTCTGCGGTGCGCCACCGAAAACTGAGCTCCTTAAATCCTTCGAATCCATAAATTACCACACGCCTCGGCTGCAAAAATTATTTTTAATTAATAATAAGTTTTAAGTGCGTCGGCATGGCAACCTGCGCCCACCTCAGTTGATAACTCCCTCCCCCTTGATTTTCCTGACCCCCTGAACTTTGTGTTATTCAATGCCTTTGCCATTGCCTTTTCCTCTCGCTAACATTGTTGTTTTTTCAGGGCGTCTGTGTCTCATTTTTGTACTTTGTCGTTTTTGTTGGTGCGCAGCGTCTATTAATTAAATTAAAAAGTTCACAGCCATCGTTGTCGTGGATGCCCCTTCCATTCGCACTTTTCATAACCTCATCAGCATGCAAACTATGTTTGTAAAAAAATTATAATAAAATTGAGAACATGGAGGATTAATTGAAATGGGTGGATGAAACAGTTTGAGAGCGGCTATAGAGTTTTAGAGGCCTGAAAAGTTTGCCTTTGCAACTGTGAAAAAAATAATAAAAATGTTAACCAATTTAAAGGCTTTAAAAGCTTTTTATGTATATTAAAAAATAGACAACTTGAAATTCAGCATGCACACATCTTTCTTTTGTTCTCGAATATGCAAATCACTTAAACAATTAACCAACCCGTCTGGCCAACTGATTCAATTGAACTCGGCAGACTGATCAGCCGAGAACCCTTTTGCCCCCTGGAATCCAGTAGTTTAAAGTTTAAACAGTTCATTGGACGATGTACTTGTTAATATTTTTTATTTTTTACATTTTCCACCCGTTGTTTCCCTGTTTTTGTGTTTTTTTTTTCACATTCCGCTCGACAATTATGCATTATTTACAAAAGTTAATTGCCGACGCGCAACAGCATTGTTCAACAAGGGCCACGCCCACTTGGAGGAGGGCAATTAACAACATTATTGACTCTGTTCGCCGGCACATTGGGAAAAATGGGTAAAATGGGTGGAGAAGGGAGGAGGACCCACAAGCGGCACTTTGAAATGCTAATGAAATTGCCTTTTAAAGCAGAAGTTGCAAGCTGCCAGCTGAAAAATGAGGAACACCAGCAGCAGCAGCAGCTGAAAATGTCGTCCTCGGGCATTCTTTTTTATTCCTTTTTGCTTAATTGATAAATTGATTAAATTGCAAAAAAAGCCTTAATTGCACAACCACATCAGTCGTCACACAGAGTGCAATCTCTCTTGAAATTTAACATTTAATTTGACTCGGCAAATTGCACTGGCCGCCGTTTCCATTGTTTCCTGATTTCAAGGAAGCTTCGTTAATGCGATGTATTTTGTCAGCATTTGAAGTGTCACATCAGCTCCGGATTCTGGATTCTGAATTCCGGATTCAATTGGGTTTAAGCTTTGTCTGGTCCTTTCGAATGCGGTGGCCAATTTGAAGGATAAATTACTGATTTCGTCTATTGTCTGCGTGGCCTGCGTTAGTTACCATTGGTCAGCGGAGGTTTGAGTTGGGTCTAATCCTGAAAAGCGGTTTTGTAGTCACACAGAGAGAAAATGGGAAACAAAGGAAGTAAGTTAAATGTGCATTCTATAAGGGGGATAAAAACAAAGTTTCTGTATGTGAAGAAAAAGAAGAACACTTCCTTAAATTATGAAGTATGTAATGTTACTTCAAGGATATTTAAATAATATTTAATTTACACGCATCTGAATTTTTATTAAGGAAAATTTTAGGGACCCCTTCCGTAAATTGGATTTCGGTAATATATTTGGATAAACATGTGTGATGTTCACAATTCGCCAAGTGTAAAGTTGTAAATCCATCTTATAGTGCCAAACTTATCGCATAAAATTCCAGGAAACGGCCAAGCCTTAACCATTTGATTACCCATTGGCTCGTCATAATCTTTGGGCGTTTCAGTTCGATACCGATTTTATGGTTATCTTAGGTTTGGCAATCCTTTGCCAGCTCAACACTTTCTCAGTTTTGGAAGTTTTCTGGGGGGGCTTTTTAGGTTTTAGTACCCGTTAAGTCCTCTAGGATAGAAGTAGAAACGAATTTTCATGTGCCCCAGGCATAATAGGTTTTCGTTTGTGTCCTCTTTCTAACCATATATCTCTGTTTCGCTCTGACATGCACCCTTCCCTCTCTCTTTCTCCAGATCCTGGCAAATTTATTGCATTTACTCGATGAAGTTTTCCGCACTTTTTCTTCGTTTCTGCTGGACTTTTTCCTTTTGTGGTTTTGCTTTGATTTAATTTGGCTGGCCGCTGCTGTTGTCTCTATCTCCATCTCTATCCTTCCAGTTGGCCCCATCTCTTTCTGCAATTTGCGAGCTTTGTTCAATTGGCTTTTCTGGTGTCCTGCTGCCAATGTCCGAGTTCTGTGTTCTCGCCTTGTCCTGTCACTCATGCGTCAGCGGTATTTGTTTGGGTGTTGGCGTTTAAATCACCCGGGGTTCTCTAAAGTGTAGAAAACTTTTTAAAGTTGAGACACGGATAGAGGGAATTTTCCTTTTGGCAGCGTAGCCAACTTGCCTGCCACATAATGCTCATTTCATATTTTGCCCTGGCGATCCAACCGAAAAGAGTGTGGTCCATAAATTTGGGGGAAGAACATAACCAGAGTTGATGTAATGCTGTGTGGCAACTCGGGTTTTTGCGGTTGGATTGCATAATGTGCATACAGTTAGGACTGAGATAATAGCACAAAATATAAGAATAAGTAAAAAATAATAAAACCACGGGCATATAATCACTTATAAATGTGCCTAAAACTATGCAGACAAATATTTATAAAGGCTCCCAAGCTTAAACTACCGTATTTCCAGAACTCAAAATTTTTTTGCATACTTTTAGACATCTTTAAAAATGATGATGAAGTGATATGAATTTTTCTTGGTAATGATAAGATATTAAGATGAAATATTATTTTAACAGGTATATTCCTAGTTCCATAACTCTGACCAGAACTGTTACTTCCCCCGCTTTTCAAAAAATCAGCCAACTCCCTTTTGGCTTGTACTTTATGTTGAACATATTTTATTGATTACATTTCCCTGCTCCAACATTTCCAACTCCGGCCACTTTTCCGGCGTGTTTTGGCACAACTTTATGAGATTTCTTCTCCATCCCCCCCAGAACCACCGCTAAAAGATGATTTTGGGGCATTTCGCATTGCATTCTACACTCCCCAGACTCATTCCCCTATAGACTTGCCAAATAAATTGCTTATTTGTAGCGACGATTTGCGGTAATTTTGTGATTTGTGGTGGGTGACATCATTCTTTTGCCACAAGGGTGGATCTGAAACTCTTGTGTTTTAGTCTCCCTTGGGTCGCTATTAATTAAACATACATATTTGCAGCTCTGACTGGCAGCTTATGGCTGGCCATAATTTATTTTGCCTGCTGCCAGATGATGACCATTACTGGGAGTACAAGAAATGATTCAAATCAAAGACTTTGATGGCAAATCTAAGCTTTTTTTCTCTGGATCTTTCTTTGTGGCTGCTCACTCTGCTTGATTAGAATTTATTGACTTTTGGCCAGGGAAATCCTTTTGGATTTTTCTTCCAACTCCCTGGCATTTTGGCGACTTTGCTGCACGCCCACTTGTATGCATATCGTTAGCAAATTGCAGGCTCACCAGGACACCCGAAAAAAGGATTTGCATGTGTGTGTTGGCGGTAAGCTAATATCCAACCAATTTCCGTTTGACTCGTTTCGCGTTTTCTTCATCCTTTTTTTTTTCCTGTCAAGGGGATACATTCAGACCAGGTAAACTTGGCCAACATGGCCCTGCTGGTTCTGCCTTTTGTGTTTCCGTTTTAGAAATTGGAAGGCAAAAAGCGCCGCGTACCGCCTCTCCAGTGTCCTTCCTGATTTCACCCGTTTCGTGTCCTTTTTTTTCCGGCGCTGCCATATAAATTTGTACAAAAGCTTAGGCAATTTTTTCGCCTTTTGTTTGCCAGTAGCTTCGTCGTCGTCGATTCATTTGCATATTCGGCACATTCAAAATACCCTCGATGTTTGCCCTGAACACCCTCCAAAAAACCCCTGACCATTTATCCTCGTTCTCCCTTTTATGAGCTGTGACTATTAATGGTGTTTGGGCTTAAGCCGGCTTAAAAGGTTTAAAGGGTTTCAAAAAGAAATTACTAAAAAAAATTTAAAAATTTAAAATATTTAAATAATAAATGGGATTATGCTCAAAGGGTTTGTTATTCATATAACTAATCCTTTTAAATTGTTAAATAAAAATATGTCAAATAACATTCTTTATTAAGACTCTAACAAGAAAACGTTAAAAAGAAATGATTTTCTATATATTAGTTATTTTTCCTTGTGCTTAAAGGTTAATTTTATAAATTTGTCATTGGGGCTTCAAGTTGATTGGAATAAAATGTAAACATTTGCAAGCAAATGTCAGATTCAGGGCAAGGAGTCAAGAAAAGGGGACCACAATCCTGTGGCTTCACAGCCACAGACCACAAAGAGCTTGGCATATTGACCCGAAAAAACAGGGAGGCTGTCCAGTAGGCGTTGATTGGCATTCCGAAAACCGGAAGCCCTCCTCCTTTCTCTCAGCACCTACAGTAGTTAACTGTCAAAGCTAATGGCTCGAAGGGGGAAAACTGTAAAGTGAAGTGTTGGGTGGACGGGCCAAAAACTGAAGTGGCTTTCCTGCCACTTGAGCGTTTATGGATATTGACATCTCAATGGCCGGGGCCCTGTAATTTAATTAGGGCAGACTTTTCCCGAGGGAACTCGAACCTGAAGAGAACTCGAACTAAACTGTGGCCTTTCCTTTGTTCCTTCTCCTTGCAGCGATTTCCCGCGAAGATGGCGACGAGTCGACGCACCATCATCACCACCACCACCACCATCGCGGTGGACACGGTGGGCACCACAACCACGGTAACAAAGTTCCATACAACGGCTACAATTCGGAGGAATACTTGGACCGACTAGAACCGAATGGCAATATACCCGCTGACAAGACAAATTGCAGATATGGAGGTGAGTTATATCATTTCATGAGATTTCGCTCTGCGAAAATTACTTCCTAGAATACTAAAAGTCGCTTATGCTTTAATTAAATAACTTAATTAACTTTTGGGCTTGAAGGAAAAATATATTACATTAATTTTAGGTACATATTTTTCGTAATTCCAATGGCTTTCGGAATGGGCAGTTTTAAACTCCATAACGTGCGTTATTGGAGTTATTATGATCTACATTAAAATATTGATTAAGGAGGAGGGTTCGATTTTTAACTTACTTTCATGAGCTTTCAGTACGGGCACCCAAAACTGCACTTCAAAACTCCATAACTTGAGTGGTTGGATCCCGATTTAGACGTGGGATACCTCTATGAGTTTGTGGTTGAATTCTGTAATGATCTACATTTAAATATTTATATAAGAGGAGGGTCCAAATTTTAACCCATTTTCATGTTCGATTTTTCCAAAAGTTTAAGGGCTTTCAGAATGGGAACCCAAAACTGCACTTCTAAACTGCATAACTTAAGTTATTGGATTTCGATTTAGACGTGGGATACCTCTATGAGTTTGTGGTTGAATTCTCTATTGATCTACATTTAAATATTGATATAAGAGGAGGGTCCAAATTTTAACACTTTTTAATGTTCGATTTTTCCAAAAATCCAAGGGCTTTCAGTTTGGGCACCCAAAACTGCACTTCTAAACTCCATAACTTGAGTTATTGGGTCCCGATTTAGACGTGGGATACCTCTATGAGTTTGTGGTTGAATTCTCTATTGATCTACATTTAAATATTGATATAAGAGGAGGGTCCAAATTTTAACCCATTTTCATGTTCGATTTTTCCAAAAGTTTAAGGGCTTTCAGAATGAGAACCCAAAACTGCACTTCTAAACTCCATAACTTGAGTTATTGGGTCTCGATTTAGACGTGGGATATTTCTATGAGTTTGTGGTTGAATTCTGTAATGATCTACATTAAAATATGCATTTAAGAGGAGGGTCCCAATTTAAATCCATTTTCATGTTCGATTTTTCAAAAAATCTAAGGGCTTTCAGTATGAGCACCCAAAACTGCACTTCTAAACTCCATAACTTGAGTTAATGGATCCCGATTAAAACGTGGGATACCTCAATGAGTTTGTGGTTGAATTCTCTATTGATCTACATTTAAATATTGATATAAGAGGAGGGTCCAAATTTTAACCCATTTTCATGTTCGATTTTTCCAAAAATCCCAAGGGCTTTCAGAATGGGAACCCAAAATTGCACTTCTAAACTCCATAATTTGTGTTATTGGATCCCGATTTAGGCGTGGGATACCTCTATGAGTTTGTGGTTGAATTCTGTAATGATCTACATTAAAATATTGATTTAAGAGGAGGGTCCAAATTTTAAACCATTTTCATGTTCGATTTTTCCAAAAATCCAAGGGCTTTCAGAATGGGAACCCAAAACTGCACTTCTAAACTCCATAACTTGAGTTATTGGATCCCGATTTAGTCGTGGGATACCTCTATGAGTATGTGGTTGAATTCTCTATTGATCTACATTAAAATATTGATACGAGAGGATAGTCCGAATTTTAACCCATTTTCATGTTCGATTTTTCCAAAAATCCAAGGGCTTTCAGAATGGGAACCCAAAACTGCACTTCTAAACTCCATAACTTGAGTTATTGAATCCCGATTTAGACGTGGGATACCTCCATGAGTTTGTGGTTCAATTCTCTAATGATCTACATTAAAATATCGATTTAAGAGGAGGGTCCAAATTTTAACACATTTTCATGTTCGATTTTTCAAAAAATCCAAGGGTTTTCAGAATGGGAATCCAAAACTGCACTTCCAAACTCCATAGCTTGAGTTATTGGATCCCGATTTAGACGTGGGACACCTCTATGAATTCGTGGTTGAATTCCCTAATAATCTACATCAAAATATATTGATTTTTCGATGGTCAAAAATTTAACCCATTTTCATGTTCGATTTTTCCAAAAATCCAAGGGCTTTCAGAATGGGAACCCAAAACTGCAATTCTAAACTCCATAACTTGAGTTAATGGATCCCGATTAAAACGTGGGATACCTCTATGAGTTTGTGGGTGAATTCTCTATTGATCTACATTTAAATATTGATATAAGAGGAGGGTCCAAATTTTAACCCATTTTCATGTTCGATTTTTCCAAAAATCCTGGGGCTTTCAGTATGTGCACCCAAAACTGCACTTCCAAACTCCATAACTTGAGTTATTGGGTCGCGATTTAGACCTGGGATACCTCTATGAGTTTGTGGTTGAATTCTCTAATGATCTACATTTAAATATTGATATAAGAGGAGGGTCCAAATTTTAACACATTTTCATGTTCGATTTTTCCAAAAATCCAAGGGCTTTCAGTATAAGCACCCAAAACTGCACTTCTAAACTCCATAACTTGAGTTAATGGATCCCGATTAAAACGTGGGATACCTCTATGAGTTTGTGCTTGAATTCTCTAATATTCTAAATCAAAATATTGTTTTAAAAGGAGGGTCCAACTTTTATAATACAAATGTTTTTTTAAAGGAAAATTGAATATAACTTTTAGCCCCGAATAGGCTCATTCATAAGGCTTTGCGTAATTTATCGCCCGCTTGTGTAATAATCTCACATTTAAGCTGCCCTCCTCCACCGAAACTAATTTAATGATAAGATGCCGAGACCCTCACTCCGATTTTCGCCAAGACAGACTGGCAATAATTTATGCCTCCATCTTGTGTGAGCAGCGTGTCTAATTATGGAGGCAAGTTCCACTTTCCCAGTCTTTCCTTTTTCCCTTGGTGCAACTGGGGAATTCCCTTACTTCGATTTATCACATTTTTTACACAGAGAAGAAAAATAGAACATATAATTTCTAGGCCACCTAAAATTAGGAATATTAAATATATTTTCTGTGATCGGGAAACCAATGTTATATATCAACTTACTACATCTATGAAAAGTTAAATATTCTTTAGGATCTTTAAAATATTTCCATTCAATTTTTTAATAAACAAAGTTTCATGATTTTTTCACGTGTACTTCTGTCCTTTAGTAATTTATCACATTTTTGTCTCATTTAGCTAATGCAAACAAGTTTTTTCTGTTCCATTTCTCCGTTTGAGCTTATCTAAGCGAAAATTTCCCCCGATAAGCGAGGCCCTCTGTCATCATTTTCCTCGCTACTGTTTTTCTCATAATTGTAAATTGCAATTTTATGCAAACAATGGGTGGCGTTTGTGAGGGGGATGGCGCAAAAAGTGAGGTAGCCTCGTGGACTCGTTGACATTGCCGATAAGCCTGTGAATGTAATGGCTTCATTTGTTGCTCATGCACTTGAAGCTGTTGCTCCTTGTTATTGTCCTTGTAAAACGGGGCACTCAACTCGAATATACTCCCTTTTACACCTCCTTGTAGATATACATATATCCTTTGTCTTCCCAATGTCTAGGCCTTTCGGAATCGGGCCATAAAACAACGGAAATGGAAATATTAACAAGCAAGTGCACAGCAACAAGGGAATTATTCATAGCCAAATGGAAATTGTGCATGCTCCATATATCTTTCCCGGGGTTTTAAACTCAATGCCATTAATGTTTCACTGCCATGGAGGAGCATATTCCAGCCCATTCTTCTGTTTTTCCTTCAAGTTATGACCCCGTCTGACATTGAATTCCATCGGTAGGTTGCCTGGATTATTGTGGAACAAAGTCGTGAAACTATTCCTGTGAAAGGAAAATGCATTTAGGGGCGGAGAAAGTGTTTATGGGAAGTCATGACACGAATGTTGTTAGTTGCCAGGTATTTACTGAGTTGGTAAACAATTTTAAACGATTTTATCAGGGTCTAAAGTGTGCCCTTTTAAAGAGGAGCTAGCCTGTAAACATCAAATGAAAAATAAATGCCACAAAAACGAAGCTAAAATTCCAAAAAGAAACATTTGTACACCTAATAAAATTGTTTTTCTTAAAATAGTATTTTTGATAAATTACTTTTATTATGAGTTCTTAATTTGAAGTCTTAAAAACGAAAAGAAAATATAAAAACCCTCTGCAACTATTTTGTCATTATTCACAAAACTATCGATGCGAACTTCTTAATACCCTTATCCATCCGAATCAATTCTGTAAAAGTTTTGTAAGCCACCCACAGCCCACGCAATCATAAAGTTATATAACGCACAATAAATTACAGAGTTGTGAAAGGCAGCGGAGAAAATTCCACACAGTTAGCCCAGAACAACCTCCCTCTTCTCCCGGAATTTTCCAGCCCCTTTCCTATCAGCAAAAAGCAATTTCAGTTTTTCATGCTGTTCCCATTTTTTTTGCTGTTCTGATTACATGATTTATAAGTTATCTTCAGCAAAACAACAATAACAACGCTGTTTGCCATTAGAGGGGGAAAAACAGGGGATATGAACAATTTATGTTCAACGCTTTTGCAAAAGATTATTGTTTATATGCGCAAATTATGCGAACATGGGCTGTTGTGTAAAATTGCGAAAAACATATTGGCCGAAAAGAATTCGCATAAAACTGTTAAAAACCACCCCGAACAAGGATGGTAAATCATGTTTTACAATTATGCGTGAAGCATAAATATAGAGTATAAATTTAATTTGCCACGGAAAAGAAGTCTTTGAATTCGGTGATAAATTGTGTGAGGCCCGCATTCTTTTTAAAGGCGCATAATTCCACCTGTAAGCTACTTTTATGGGGTGAACGAAGAAGGACCTTCTTGTATAAACTCTACTCAACTTGCGCATAAATCCTTTTAACGCTTTATTTGGCTTCTGACGCGCTTTCCTTTGCCATCCTTTCTCCTTTCAGCTTTTGTTTGTTTTTATTTTGTACTTTGACTCGCAGGATCCTGTGCGTTTGTTTGTTTTTAATGCCGCTTGGGGTCTCTTTTTTCGCTTCTTGGGTCACTGTCTGTGATTTAAATTTATTGGCAAAATACTTAAAGTAAATCTTTTTGTTTCACTTTGTTTTGTGTACGT